ACGGCAACATCTGCAGACTCAGGGAGTGTCAGAGACAGGCTGTAGGGTGTGGCCATTTTCTGCACTTTCCCAGAAAACAGACCGGTGCTTCCCCGACAAGGGAGAGCCATAGAAACACCCTCCCAGTTTCTGACAGACCCAAACTCTGGGCTCTGGAGACTTCACCCATTAGCCTATGAGGAGCCCTGCCCAGCCAATTACAGGGAAATAATCCAAGACAGACTCAGGCTAGTGGCTCAGGGGGAGGGGGAAACACCCAGCATCTTCCCTAAAGCCTGGCAGGCACCTGCCCTGGGAGATGCAGGGGCCTCATCTCCCCGGAGAGGCCCTCTCAGCAACAGTCAGGCCTGTGAGTAGCCTAAGACTGACAGCAGGCCGGCAGGCACAGACAGGCAGAGGTGGGTCCTGTGGTGACTTGGGATGTTGGCTGACATACGTCTGCTCCCGGTGCTGATAAAACCAGGGTTTGCAGAGCAGCTCGGCTCATCCTGGGTACAGCCAAGAAAGATTAAAAAAGAAAAAGAAAAAAGAAAAAAGATAAAGAAAATAAGGTAATGGGGAAAATGCAATAAAGATTAAATCAAATAAATAAATAAAAACTTTAAAATTTTGAAAAATAAATAAATAAGAATAAAATCATTAGCCCTGGCTGGCGTAGCTCAGTGGATTGAGCTCGGGCTGTGAACCAAAGCATCACAGGTTCGATTCCCAGTCAGGGCACATGTCTAGGTGGCAGGCCAGGTCCCCAGTAGGGGCCATGTGAGAGGCAACCACACATTGATTCTCTCTCTTTCTCCCCCGCCTTTCCCTCTCTAAAAATAAATAAATAAAATCTTAAAAAGAAGAATAAAATCATTAAATAAAGTTGTAAGAAAATGCTAGTTTCAACCCCTTAACTGATTTCGCATCACTCGACTAGGTTGTAGCTGGAATGTGGAAAACACTGCACAGGTGATTTCCATTGCATGCCCCAGTCCTGACGCTCCATGATAATGATTACGTATGGGATTTCTTTGCAAAAGTAAAAACGATGTGTGTTAGTTTGAAACACTAACTTATTACTTACAAAGTTCTCGTGTTAATCATGTATTGAGAGCACACCATATCTACCTTCATTAACCACTCTTTTCCCTTACCCTCCTCCTTTGTCCCTCCCTTCTCTCCGGAGCTTCTGTTAATAGCAGACTTCAGAACCTCTGGGAAGGGATCAGAGAGGCATCTGCATTGTTCATTTGACTGTCCATGCAGACTTTCAAGAGGTTGTTCTTCTAGCTCAGAAGTATCAACCTTCCACATACAGCGCCCCACCCTTGGCCCCAGAGCAACACATGAGCTCAGCCTCCAGTCCCTGACCAGCAGGCCAAACCACCGTTTCCTGTTTCTTGCTTCTTCTTCAGTACATGTTGCTATTTTTCATAGTACGTGGCTGCCTACCTTCTGGACAGGCCTCCTATACACAGGCCTCATCTCACTGGGCTGACATGGTAGATATTTTCAACTCACAGTGACAAGAGGACAGACAGTGGCCCCGTGGCCCCACTCCCAGGGAAATACAGGAGATGAAGAACTCTGCCCCGCTATCCCCCTAGCTGGCACTTCCCCAGCTGTGCTGTCATTTTCCATAACAGTTATTACCTCCCTCTGTTCTTTATAGGTTTCCTAGTGTTTACCCTTCAGTTCTATTAAGGAGGGAAAATTCCCTCCTACCACACCTCTTGAGTTCTTATGACTGAACTAATAATAAAAGAGGCATAAGACCAGATCAACAGAAGTTAAAAAAACAATTTAATATGTAGGCACTGGTGATCATAATGGATATTGACACAAATGATTGAACCAGCCAGCTTCTAATGCTTTTTGGACAAAGAAACAATGAGGTGATGATCTGACGGAACAAAGAAGGTCAGGTTTTGGTTCTCATCAGTGAGGAATCTACACAGAGTTGGAGCTTGGGTAGTAATTTAGTAAAGGAGTAATGAGGTTTACTATAAATAGGTTTTCCTTAATTCTGGCATTAGGGCGTCCCTCTCAGCCCCCTGAACGGGGTGTGGTGGGGGGAGGGGCTACCTTGCACAGGGGACATTTACTTCTTGCATTCAGGGACACAAAGGAGGGTGGATGAGCCCTTCCAGCATTAACTGCAGGTCCAGTAACTTCAATGCAAAGGAAGTAATACACAATTGTGGGTTCTTTTGGAGCAGCCTGTCCTGGAGCCCTCATGGTTTCTGGCACCTAAATGTTACAGGATGCAGCCAAGAGGGGGGACCCCAAATGGGCATTTGAAATAGGGTCCAGAACTTAAGGTGTCCAGGAGATTTTAAGATGTCTCCACCACCCCCCCCTCCCACGGTGTGGGTTGGGGGAAGGGACAAATGGAGCAGGGCCATTGAGAGCTGTTTTGCATAGCAACAGCCTTGCAGCAACCCTCTGGTGTGGTCATTTAACATATCTATAGCCTTTGGCTGGTCCCTTAGATATGTTAAATAGCTGTGGCCATGCCCTGAGCCAGGGGAATGGAAGTAACTTCCCCACCAAAACGTGACTGGGGGCAGATCCCCCAAGCTACAGCGCCTGCGTGGGAGCTCGCAGAAGATTGGCTCCAGGACATGGGGCCACACCTGCCCAGACTCCTGATAGCAGCCCAGTAAAGCTGGAAGGATATGAATTCTGGCATGTGAAGCCGAGTGTGGGAGGAGTCGGAAATGAGGCTGCAGAGGAAGATTGGCCACGGGGATTTAAAACCCAGACGTGGCAGCCATTGAAGAGAGAACCATGCTGCTTTAGGAGAGAGAACCACGTGGCCGTGACAGAGTGGAGACTCCCGCAGCCCTGAGAGGGAGAACCATGAGGCCTGGACAGAGCGGGGACCCCCACAGCTTTAGAAGGGGAACCACCACCTGGTTTTAGCAGAGATCCCGGCGACTCAGCTGAGGGTGCCGGGAACCCAGGGAGGTCTCCCAGTCGAGATGGAGTACTAACTGGGAATAACCAGAGGACTGCCTGAGCCATGGACTTCTATTTCCTTTCCTGAGATACGGTACTCTGGACTGGGCAAAGGGGGGAAGGAAGGAAGGACTGTGTCTGTTTGTGGGTGTTTTAAGGGACTTTAGGATTTTTGATGAAGACATTAGGTCACTACTTGAAGTCTGTATAGCATTAAATAAACATTTCCTTTCCTTTTCACGAATCTCTGGCATTGAGAGACGTCTTTCCTAGGGCGGCGGATATAACGGACCCGGGGCCTTCTATCAATAATAGTATATTGTCCCAGGCCCCCCTTGTTGTGTTCTGTAACATAAACACATCTACTCCCGTTATGAGTTGTCTCCAAAACTGGGTGAGGCGAGGCACAGTCCCTTCCACTTGATAGCTCCCACCTAGTAGCCAGATTAATTTATTTTTAATTAACATTTTTATTGAAATATAGTTGGTATACAATATTATGTTAGCTTCAGGTGTACAACATAGCGATATGACATTTCTATACCTTATCAAGTATTCACCACAGTAAGTCTGGTAGCATGCCACCATGCACAGTTCCATAAGAAAATGAAGAAGCCAGCAGATCCCATGTTGCCTAAGCAGTGGAGCCAGCAGAGCTGGCTTCCCTGTGCCTTGCAGCTGAGAGCTTAGCATATTCGGACAGAGGGGTGGGAGCAGCCTTCCAGGGACCCCATGAGATTTGCTGGGCTAGCCGGTCACTTTTGAAGCTCAAGGGCTTTACACAGGAACTCAGAGGAATTTAATTTGTGGCACACCTGCCATCTGGCCCCCAGGGACCATCCTGAAGGGAATGACCAGGAGACACCCTCCAGCTGCACACTGTCCTGCAGCCTGGGTGCCCCACCCTCTTGGGAACCACCCTGACTGGTATCAGAAGCTGAAACCCCCGCCTAGGCTAAGGCTAAGGGAACGCCCTTGGAACCGTAAGCCAGCAAGGAGACAAAAGCTTATCTCCCTGGCAGGAGGGCTGCTTCTGCTGCTTTATTAATAACTGAACCCCAAAAAGCTTGGTCGGTTAGCCAAAGACGGGTAAGATTCCCCAAGGGGGGAACGACCTAAGACAGGCACAATCACTTTGGGAGGCCCCCCAAAAGAAGGACTTGGGGGGCTGCAGCAAAAGGGGGTGATGGACCCTCGCTCCTCAGCTTTGACATAGCCTGAGTTCTCATCCTCTTGGAGAAAATCTCCTTATCTCTTGGTTGCCTTAGTTCCCTTGCTCCACCTAAGCCTGAAACAATGACAGGGTGGTGCAGCCCTGTGCTGAAAAGGGCGGATTCCCCGGGTGATCAGGCCTAAGAAAGAATAGGTAAATTACTGTGAAACCTTCTTTGTTTAGAATGCTCTCAGTTGAATGAGAGGGGTCCAAGGAGGAAGTTAGTTTGTTCCTCAAAGTCTTACAGCTCTTTGACCCCAACTCAAAATAGACCCTCAGATTTCCTTGTTTTCTATGGTTCCTTACTTCTCCCTAATGAGTACTGTACTTTACCTGAATTATTATGCAAAATGAGCCCAATAAAACCAGGTATGGCTGGTAAATCAGCGTGATCCCCACTAGGGGGGTGGCCATTTTGTCCCTACTTCCCCACAGAAACTAGTTTGTCTCTGTGCATGTTGTTTTTTCTCGCATGTTTATCGTCGAGCCATCCACAGCATTCCATGGTCACTGCTGGCCGGTGACTCACGCATATTCACCCTAGAGCTTCACACCCTTCCCTGCACAGCCCAGGTGGCCCCTCCTCAGCCCCTCCAACTCTGACAGCAGAGCCTTCATCCTCTGACCCACCAGAAGCTACCAAGGCTGCCAGGCAGAGCAGTCTACCTGGTGAGCTTGGGGTTGCGCAAGCTCACCAAGTGGGGAAGTGACCTGGGGGCTGAAGACAGCCACTGGTGTCCAGTAAGTGTGCCTCTGTACTCTGTTGGGGAAATGACCTGGAGGGACTTTGCCCAGGGGCCACATCTGGCTTTTCTTCCCTCCCCATAAGCCCAGCAGGGAGGGCTCAGGGTAAATAAATAGCAGTCGCCTGCACCCAGCAGGCAGGGACCAGTTCGTCCTCCACGGGATTCAGGTGAGGGATAGCTTTCAAAGTCTTACTCTGTTTTCTCTTTCCCACAAGCCTGTACCCTCATTTCAAATCATGGTTCTGCTTGGTGTTTGTGTGTATGGGGGTGTGTGCTGGCAGAGGAACACAGGGTGAGTGCTTTGTGAGGAACTGCAGGCTGCTTTAGGGGGGTCCATTGGGTCCTAACCTCCCTCTTCCTCCTTCACGGCCCCCTTGGTGGCCTCTTACACAGTCTGTGTTCAGGGATGATGAGTGAGAAGTGAGGGCCGTGGTTCTGACTGAGGTCCCACTGCCACGTGCCTGCAAGGACCAGGAGCGTCCCATGAGCACAAATGGTGATGCATAGCCCAGCTCCCTCTGACATGCGAGTCCCAAAGGCAGGTGTGCCCACCTTGCCCGAGTCTCCCTGACCCTCCCCTTTCATTTCAGCACCATGAAGCTCCTTACAGGCCTCGTTTTCTGCTCCCTGGTCCTGGGAGGTGAGGGCTTCTTCTCCTTCCTGAGCGAGGCTTATGAAGGTAAAGAGGCTGCGGGGTTGCGGGGGGGGGGGCACCCAAGGGCACTCGGGTTCCCCCTGAGCAGCCTTCAGGGGTGGGGCTATTACTTAGGTTGTGTTGGCCAATGTGGTAGCTAGAATGTGCCAGATCTTTGGGGAGCTTTCCACCAAACAGATAGAAAACCACGGGATTTCTTTCAATCGGTTACGACAGAGAGAACACTCATCATTCCCTGCTGAAAGGTAAGTTGCACCAGAAGACACAGAACAGGTCTTGAAATGGTATAAAATTTCCCTCAGGCCAAACTGCACAATGTAGCATTAAAGCTGCTATCTCTCCTCCTCCTGCGCCCTTCTTTGTTCCCTTCCCTTCCCTCATTGGATACTTTGGAGAGACCTGCAGCTTAGCTCCTGCTGGGGCTTCCTCTAGTCAGTGACAATGTCCCTGCCTCAGTCTGTTTGCCACCCTCTTCTGGCCTCTGAACCCCCAAAAAGGAAACTGGTGACATCCATCGAGGCTCCTCTAGGAACTCAGCACTTTCACGCAGTTTAGGGCGAGCAACTGCCCTGGTTTGTCTGGGTCTGAGGAGATTTCCATGACACTCTCAGTGCTGACAGGCGCAGGTGTGGCCAAGCAGGGACGGCTGGTCTCCCACTTGATGTGGAGAACAACTTGCTGAGGCAGAGCCTTCCCCAACCTCAGGATGAGAGCCACTGAGCACATTGAGCAGGGACCGTCTGCCAGTGTTCCCGTCCCAGAGCAGAGTGGGGACCCAGCTGTGCGGGAGGCCCCGGCCCTGGCCAGCTAGATGTGCCTCAGCACCCCTTCCTGGAGCTCGGTGGGTGTCAGTCTGAGCTGCATGCTGGGTCCCCTGGAGAGCATTACACACTGTGGACACCTGAGAGCACCCCTGAGAGTCAGATGTAATTGGCCTGAGACGTGGCATCGGACTTTCCCGACTTCCCGAGTGTCCCAGTGGTCAGAAAGCACAGCCGAGGCTGAGGAGAGGGACCAGTGCTCCAGCGCTCGCTGGCTCACGCCATCTGTCCAGTCTGTTCCCAACATTTCCAGGGTGCTGTTTATGCCCCTAACACTCAGAGGGACTGCAGTCACAGTGTGTGCGTTGTGTCTGAGAGACTACACACTGTAGGCGTCAGGCAGCTGCGCTCCACGTCTGGGCCTTCCTCAGAACCTGCTTTCCACGTGACCACCTCGCTCCCCGAGCTCCCCGACTGCTCTCATCGGTGGCTTCCCTCCATCACACAGGCTCTTGATCATGAGGCAGTTTGCTCCCCTGGGACATGTGGCCGGGGTGGTGCAATTTTCGTGGTCCCAGTGGGAATATGGGGCCCACATCTAGTGGGCAGAGAGGCAGGGAGGCTGGGAAACACCCCACAGCACTCAGGAGGGCCCAGAGGAATGAAGAACTCACTGGCCCCAAACCTCAGTGGGGCTGGAGTTGAGAGGTCCTGTTCTGTGAGGGCACCCCCCTTCTCTCCTCTCAGCGTGAGTCATAGAGGCTACAGTGAGATGGAGTCATATGGGGCCTCCCTGGGGTCAGACCCCCAGTACCACCCAGCTGCATTCCACACACCCCCTCCCCCGCCCAGAATGACTCTCCTCAGAGCCACCTGGGAAAGCCAGCTGGAGTCTTCTCAGCCTCGGGTGTCCAGGGTGCTGTGGCCACAGGCTGAAATGAGTCAGTGGCAGGTTTCAGTCCTTGCTTCTCTCTAAGGGTGTCACGGTTCTCTGATGGTTCACCTGATATCTCTGTGCCACGTTCCTTCCTTCCTTCCCAGGGGCTAAAGACATGTGGAGAGCCTACTCTGACATGAGAGAAGCCAATTACATAGGTGCAGATAAATACTTCCATGCCCGGGGGAACTATGAAGCTGCCCAGAGGGGCCCTGGGGGCGAATGGGCTGCCAAAGTGATCAGGTAAGCAGGGTCCTGGGGTGGCAGGGTGCTGAGCAGAGGTTAGCTGACTTTGGGGATCAGGAGGGCATAGCCCCTAGAGAAGGACCCTGTAGGGGGTCTGTGGGGTCCCCCCTCATGTTCTTCCTGTCCACCTCCTCCATCCATTCCCAGCCTCTGACTCTTCTCCCTCCTTCTCTCCTCCATCAAGTGATGCCAGAGAGCACTCTCAGAGAGTCACAGACCTTTTTCAGGCATGGAGACAGTGGCTATGGAGCAGAGGACTCGAGGCAGGACCAGGAAGCCAATGAATGGGGCCGGAGCGGCAAGGACCCCAATCACTTCAGACCCAAGGGCCTGCCCGACAAGTACTGACTCCTTCTCTGTGCTCCCAGGACAGGGGCTGTGAGGCCCCTGTGGGCAGGGACACCGAGCCATTGAGTTCTACACCCCCATTTGCTGACTGAGGGCACCTAATGGGTGTGTAATAAACGCTTAGGAGATGCAATGTTGAACACTGTGTGTTATTCCTGGTGTAAGGACTGCCTCTGACGCCACTGGGTGATGGATGGGCACGCATAAGAAGGCCGAGCTTGTGCCTGTGTGTTTGGGTGGAAGGGGCACAATCGCAGTGTCACATGGGGCAGACATCCTGCCGCAGACCTTCCTGGAGTGAGAGGGAACCTGTTCCTCTCTCCAGGTTTTAGGTTCCAGTGTTGCTCCTCCTTGCTTCCTGTCAATGGTGTCCTGTCACACTCTCTGTCCCCAGGGCCTTGTCTTAGTCTTCGGAGTTCTGTCCTTCAGTGGCTTCTGTCTGGGGACAGGGGATACAGCCATGGGAGGACCAATCCCTGGGATCCAGGTCCAGCAACTGCCACCTTGATCTCCTGTTCATTCTCAGCAACACCTGCAAATCCAATTAGTAACCCACCTCTGTCTGTCACACCTAAGAAAAGCCTCCAAAGCATTTTTCTCACTCTGTTTTACCGCCTTATTTCAAGCCTAAATGAAGATGTAATGCCCTCTCATGGGTGAATATTTCCTCACAACTTCTTCACCTTAACCAGCTCAAACTGCGGAATTGGTAGGAAGGAGAAAAGATCATTCATCGGTAACCGTATTAATTGCTAAGGAGCAGAGAATACAAGAAGGAATAAGTCTTAGAAAGGGGGCCCCCATGGCTGAGGTCCAGGACTTATGGAAAGCCTGTAGCCCATCGGAAGGCTGGTAAAGATGGCTGGGTGTCCGAGGCCACAGCTGACAACAAGAACTTCCCCCAGGAGGTGCCAGTGAAACTTGGCAGAAACTGCCCAGATGCAGTTGCACTCCCTGGGAATGCCACTTGCTTCCTGCAAGCGCACAAGGCTACAGCCCCCGTGGGGACAGGAGTCAGAATGCTGCTGAACTTTCTGGAAGCCAACTGACAAGAAGCACCGCTAGGGATTTAATTATATCTCCCCACCCTCAATTCATGTCGATGTCCTCCCTTCCAGTACGGCTGTGTTTGGACTAAGGACGTCATTAAAGTTAAATGAGGTCCTAAGAGGGGAGCCTCGGTCTGATGGGATCGGTGTTCTTATAGAAGGAGATGAACTGACCACCAGCGCATGCTCGAGGTTGCTGCCAGCCAACCCACAGCCAGGATGAGGGTCAGCAAAATCACCCATGGGTGGCAGTCAGACTTTGCTGGGGCCTGGGAGGCTGGTGAATGATATTTACATTAGCTATTTTCTTTCATCGCAAAGCCAGACTGTGCACCGTACGGGGCAGGCCTCGCTAGATTTAAGCTGTAGAGAAAGTCCTTGTAGTTTCCAGGTGGAGAAACCGAGCTTTAGGGGCGTGTGCCTCGGCTGTGAAAGGGGCAGAGGCAGGACTGCAGGCCGGTGTGTCTGACTCTGAAACCCCACATGAGCTGTCCACGGCCGTGAGGGTGGGCAGTGGAGACCCACTGTCCTTCCCCCGTCTCGTCTCCAGCAGTCGGTGTGAGTGGTCGGGAGAGCGCTGACGCCGGAGACGCCTGCTCGTTGAGGGACAGGCCCCACATCTCATTCACCCTTGTGTACAGGACACCGAATGCAGGCACTCAATCACCGCTTTCTCAATAGGTTACTGCATTGAAAATTCGGGCTGCATCCACATCACTCTTTACTCTTACGCATTTTCCTCTTCGTAAGAGACAAATGTCCTGAGCCCTGACTGCCCTGACTGACGTGGCTCAGGTGGTTGGGCGTTGTCCTGCAAAGTGGAAGGTCACCAGTTGATTCCTGGTCAGGGGACACACACCTCAGCCTCTGGTATGAGAGACAACAGATTGATGTTTCTCACCCACATCCATGTTTCTCTTCCCCTCTCTCCAAAAATAAACACATAAAATTTATTTCTAAAACAGAACCCAAAGTCTTAAAAGAGCTGCCCATGTGCACTTCCTGGTTCCTCACTTCTGAATCACACAGAACCTGCTCCAGCCAAGCCTCTGTCTCCACCACTCCAGCTAAGCAGCTGCTGTCGCCACTGACTGACCCAAGTGCTGCCAAAAATGACTCCCGCATTTCTCCCCTCTCATCTGCAGGCCTCTGGGCAGCTTTCAAGTGCTGCCCCCTTCCGCCCTTCTGGATGGTTTTCCCACTTGGTTTAGTAATACCACACTTTGCTGGGGTTTCTACTCATTTTCTAAATCTCCTTAGCTGGGTCTTCCTTATCTCCTCCAAATTCTGAGTGTTCCACAGACTTTGTTCTGGGCTCTCACTTTTTATTTCTCTAAGCTCTCAGTCAAATGTACAGAGGGTCCATATGCTAATGGCTCTTACTAGGCACCCATTCAGCTATTCAACACCTATTGGATGAGACCCAGTACATGGGAGCAATGGCACCCGGTACTGAAAAGGCAGCAGGGAGTCAGACAGCCAAGATCAGCGCTCTCAGGGAGGCAACGCTCCGCTGGGAGAGTATTTATGCAGCTAGTTACTATTCTACACAATGGAACTAACTCACGTGCTGTACAGTGGCCATGTCTGGGTGGCAGTTGTACAGCAGATGGCTAAGAAGCCACACGCTCAGTCCTAACTGACCAGGTTGACTCTCTGCTTTGCTGCCAACCTCGTGGCAGTATGCGTGGTGGTGCGTGCACAAATGATCGGGAGAAGTTGTTAAGTGAGAAAGCAGAATATAAAATAACAGGCATTACATCCCTGACTTCGAGTATTCACATACGCACCTACACTTAGCAAACAGAGCGGAGGCCACACAGGAAGGTTCAGCAGAGGTTCTCCCCACCGCCTCCCCCAGCCCGGGCTGATGAAACTGGCACTGCTTTTTGTTTCTGTGTCTTTACCTATTTTATATTTTCCAGCTCTCTTCAGGGAACCAGAGCATCCAGCTAAGAGGCTGCTCATTCACCAAGCCTGACCACGTTCTCAGCGTTTTCCGAGCACTGATGATGGGTGAGGGCAAAAACCCAACAACCCGCTCCTGTCCTGACTGGGGTTCCAGTGTCGGGATAAAGAAAAACAGCACCTGTGTCATCAGAACACACCTTACGTGTGTGTGCCTCTGTCACTCCCCACACGCACACAAAAACTAGAACAACACTAAGTGTGCAAACTCCATAAATCATGCATCTACTTAATATGGATCACAATGAACTAGAAATTGACACATGGCTCAGGGTCGCATGTAAAGGTTGTCATGGAAGATGAAAGGAAAGGACGCTCCTCATTTCCATGGTCCATGTCCTGTCTGTTCATAGTCCTTCTCCGCTCTGTTCTCCTCCACAGATCTGTCTCCTCGCAGGCCTGCAGACCTGCCAGGGGTAACCGAGTAATTCCAGCACTTGTCCTTGAAAACTGCACCCTGACCAACATCTGGAGAAAGAAGTTTCCTTGAGATAAAAAACAGAAAACATTCGCTCTGCTCTTGCAGCTGAGAGTAGCATGTAGGATAATAAAAATTATATTCACGAAAGCTATTCTTAACATAGCAGTTTTTATAACAACAACTACTACTACTATGACAAAACAAACTTCAGAGATTGTCATATATCCCATGTGTCATTGCTACAGGACATAGCAAGTTTCTACACTACAGTTCAACGACCCTGGGTTATAGAACTTCCAATATAACCTGCCACTATGACCTTCAGTAGTGACTGACCATGAACACACTTTATAGGGAACTGATCCGAGTGGCCATGGCAAATGCAGCTCAGACCTGGTTCGGAAAACCAACAGGCATGAGGCAGTACACAGGAGCCAGGCCCACAGATCGGCTTTCCCATGAGGGACTAGGCTTGCATTGTACTCAGGCTGCTTTGAGGCTTGCTTTTGCTAAGACTCCCTCATCCTGAGTTAAGACAGCTGATGTTTAAAGTATATCTTTGAAGTAACTCCTTAAAGTCTGTGCTGAGCAGTTCCAAGGACAGAATATAAACGGATCAATCACTCTTATTGTTCCCTTACATTTGCAACATTCTTTTCTTTGTTATCTGTAAGAAGTAATCACTTAAAGCAAACCTGAGTGTTATGAATGAGGACCTTCCTTGACGTAATGCTCCCAGAAAGCAATAAAAGCCTATCCAGGCAAGGGTTGGGACACTCTCTCTCTCACAGAGTGGCCATGCTATCCCTTTTCTCTACAGGACTTCTGCAGTCCATGTGAATTTGTTCATTGCATCCACAACACCACAGACGCTGCTGGCCAGAGTCGCATCATCACTTGACTCTGGAGGACACCTTCTCCAGTGCAGAGTCCACACCAGCCGGGTGCTGGAAGCTTTCTTTTGCGGAGTCGTCTGTCCTTCTTCCCTACACCTGTACCCCGGGCCCCAGTTTCATCCTGAGCTGCCGCTCACCCTGGAGCCCCTTCTGCTCTTCCACTGACCCTACGTCCTCACATTCTCCACTCCAACCTCTCCTCTAATGCTGATTCTCCTTCACTGCAAGTGTAAGCACATTACTATGCAGGGAGAAACAACCTTTCCCAGCACTCGGGAGACTGGAAATGGGTAGGAAACCTCAACTTGTGGCATCTCTGAAAGCTGCCAAGTTGCACAATCTGGGAAACTTAGAGGTGTGTGAAAAAAATGCTGTCATGTTCTGGAAGACCTGTTTTGAACAAGAGGAATTTCCCAAATATCAGTGTTTTACCTCAAACCCCTCCTCCCGTTTGCCCCACCAGTGACACATCAGTATATATACAGCCCCAGGCACAGCTCCCAGGCAGGCAGCACAGGCAGCTCAGCTTCACCAGGAGTCTCTGCAGGACCGAACAGCCAAGGTGAGGTGCTGGCGCTTTCCACCACATTCCCTCTGTGGAGATGCTCTTTTCCCACCAGCATTCTTGTGCGCATCCCAGCTCTCTTGACTTTCCCTGAGTCTATTGTTTTTAGACAATGAGAATTCATAACATGGGAATACTTTGGGGGTAGAGGTTTCATCATATGTGTCTTCTGTGTGAGTCAGTGATGGTAGAGCAGGTATCCTACAATATTTATAGGGTAACTTTTCTCGTATTACAGAGAGGTACAGTGGACACGAATTTCCAAATGCCTGTATACATTTATTTGGGTTTCAGGGCAATAGGGGATGACCGACATGGAAATTATTTTATAGCAGTGATTGTCAGCCTTGTCCATCTCATGGTACACATGAGCTAATTTCTAAAGTCTCATGGCACACCCAAAATATTTCTTTTCTTGGCCTGACAAAAATTTAGTTGTAATTTTGATTCATTCATACCAGATGGCTATTGTTGTGTTGGTTTTTGTCATTTTTTTCTAAGTTTTAAATTTTAAGGGAAACAGGTCAGTGCCCCTGACTAAATAGTCAGGTAGTATATGTTTTAAAAATTCTTGCAGCACGCCTGTTGAAAGTCACTGGCATATAGGTTGCACTCTCCTGTAAGGGAAATCACTGTGGTTCTAATGAGTCAGGTGAAAATGTAGACCTGGATTCTCTGAAATACAATCCATCCATCTGCATGGGTGGATAGACAGACAAAGATATTGACATAGAAATATAAAATTGAGTGGAATTTACATTTGGAATGCTAGGATAGGTCAGCATCACCAAAAAAGAGACACAACTCTCTCATGCTGCTTGTGTCTGCCTGACTCTCTCCTCAGGATGAAGCTTTCCACCGTCATCATTTTCTGCTCCCTGGTGCTGGGTGTCAGCACCGAAGGGTGGGGAACGTTCCTCAGGGAAGCTGCTCAAGGTAAGGACGCAGCATGGGTTGTGAGGGGGTGCATCAGACCTGCACCCAGGTTTCACCTGAGCAGAGGCCACGTTCTCACTAGGAAGAAAGAGAACAGTGCTTTCATGGTAGGTGTTCCCTAGGATTTTCTGGCCAGCTGTGTACTGTTTTGTGGGGATCCTGGAGCTGGAGGGCACTGAACGTTTGTGCCCCAACTTGCAGCAGGAGTGATGAAGAGATGGGGAGTTCAGAGGTGACTCTCCGAATATAAATCGTGCTCTACTGCCCCCTAATGGCAATCAGAGACAGTTCATTTCTTGGTCTCAGCCATGAAATGGGTGTGTCAAAGGTGTGGGGAGTATTTTACATTCCCCAACGTTAATACAACAAATATTAACGGAGCTTTTAATACATGTAGGCATCATTCTAAGTGTTTTTCGTGTACAATAAGCTCGTTTTCCTCCTCTTGTTTTAATTTGTCAGTCCTGCAATGTAGGTGCCATTATCTCTTAACAGAGAAATAGAGGCTCAAAGAGAGCGAGAGGCCTCACAAAGTCAGCAGGTAGGGCAGGACTTAATCTGGGTCATTGAGATCCGGGCCTCGGCATTAACCATGGTCCCAGATGGCCGGCCTCCCAGACAAGGCTGCACGTGGAAGAGTGAGGGATTTGCGAACACTTGTTCTGTTCTTTAACTGAGCAAACTGCTCATGGTGGGGAGGTGGTGCCTTTGACAGGCAAATCTACAGAGCTCCCCTCCCTGTGACGAAAACCACGATGAACTACCTGCTGATGTTCCTGCTGGGGCTGCGACCTGGCCCGGAAACCAATAGAGAGAGAAATATACCTCACCAGCCATAGTGAAGAAATACAATTTTGTTTATTCACAGAATTATTTTGCATTTTTTTCTGTTATTGTCTCTGAGTAATTATCTTCAGAGTTTGCAGTTAATTCCATCTAAATTCTCATAGACCAGGCTAAAAATATCTTTTCATCTCTTAGGTCAGTGTTTTTTCAAAAGGCTGTTCTAGGACCCCTTGCACGAGAATCATACGGGGTCTGGGGTGCTTTATGAAAGGCAGATAAGTGTGTCCACTGAATCACAATGTCTGGGGCTGAGCGTCAACACCTCGCCTTTATTAAGCACCAGGTTGGTTGTGTGCTCACTGAAGTTTGAGAAGCACTGTCTTTGACGTGCTGCCCCCTGGTGGTAAAATACACCAGACATTTTGGAAATTCGTGTTATGCAAGTCCAGGCCACAGAGATCTATTTAAATCAGAATGTGTAAGTACAGCAGGAATGTCATACCTCTCACCAAAACTATCTTTTCTAATGACAAAATGACATGTGAGATGAAGATCAGTGATCTCATGGAGAAATTAATTATGTAGACCATGAATCTAACTCTACATTAGATTTTTCTTTGTCTAAAAAGTGATTACATTTTTTTCCATTTAATTGTAGCTTGATCAAATTCATTCTATGACTCCCTGTTCATCTTGATTCTCTTACTTCCTTTAGCTGCCCCTCTTCCTAAAGTCCAGAGAAGTAAAGTAATACCATATTGTCCACCTACAATGTTCTTGACATTACAGAGCCTTTTCTCAGTGCTTCTGTGCAACCACTCTGAGGGGATCCAGACTCCCCCACTTTATGGGGGGAACATTGAACTTTAGAGCTGGTGGGGCACTTGCCCTTGTTCTGCATCTATTACCCCATTTCTACAAAGTCTGTGAGGGAACTCACTCTGACTGTGTGCGGATTGAGCTCTGGCAGCTGCCCAGGTGCCACATGTGCCCAGACACGCAGACGTGCTCAGGATGGGCTGTGCTGTCCTCGTCTGTGGGGTGAATGTCTCCCCTTGACTGGCTGGGAGCTCTGGGCTTCTGAGCCTCCCTCGGAATCCCCTTTGTTCCCACCCCCAGTCAGGGGTTCCCTGCATCCTCCCAGGTGGAGGTTCCTTGTGCAAACGAACATCCTTAAAGGCCATCTCACCTCTTCTCTGCGTGCCCCATACACAGCCAGAGACAAAGTAGCCACAGAACTTAGAATGGAGCCAAACAGAATCAAACGTGTACCGCATGTGATTCTCATAACATTAACCCAGGAACAAAAGGTAAAAAAAACATGTATCTCATTGCAGTTAATCTCCAAGGGCTTAGTCAAAGGCCCAAATCATATAATCGATAGAAGAAAATGTTTTATTCCTCATTTGCCCAGATGTGATCACCTCCACCTCACATGTGCCTTCCTTCCCAGGGGCTGGAGACATGTGGAGAGCCTACTCCGACATGAGAGAAGCCAATTACATAGGTGCAGATAAGTACTTCCACGCCCGGGGGAACTATGACGCTGCCCAGAGGGGACCTGGAGGTGCCTGGTCTGCTAAAGTGATCAGGTAACAGGGCTCCTGGGGATGCAGGATGGTGAGCAGAGCTTGGTGGCCTTGGGGAGCCAGGCGGGGCCAAGCCAGGAGGAGTTTCCTGTGAAGAATGTGGTCCCTCCTCCTCTTAACTGCCCTGTCCCTCTGGGCCCATTGTGAAGTCTGAGGTGCTAAAGGAGCCAGAACAAGGCAACTAGAATGGGCGATTCCCGCCCTCCCGGGGAGTGCTGTCCACCCCGTGCTGGGGTCAGCCAGGGCTGCATTGCCGCCTGGGCAGGGTCTTTCTTGGCTCCTCTCAGCCACTGATCCCTTGGAAAGGGGCGAGTGGGAAGGGGAGGCTGTTTCTCATTGGCCCCTTATTCACCTCCTACCTGCCATCCTCCATTCCAGCAATGCCAGAGAGCAGGCTCAGAGAGTCACAGACCTTTTCAAGCATGGAAACAGTGGCCACGGAAAGGAGGACTCGAGGCAGGACCAGGAAGCCAACCGATGGGGTCGGAGCGGCAAGGACCCCAATCACTTCAGACCCAAGGGCCTGCCCAACAAGTACTGACTCCTTCTCTGTGCTCCCAGGACAGGGGCTGTGAGGCCCCTGAGGGCAGGGACACGGAGTGGTTGAAGTCTATATATCCATATGCTGATAGAGCACACCTAATGCATGTGTAGTAAACGCTTAAGATACTGAATGTTAAAAAGTGTGTTTAATTCTTTGGTGGAAGGACTGCCTGTTTGATACCAAGGGGTGAATGATGGACACCCACATGAAGGCCGAGCCTGTGCCCGCATGTTTGTGTGTAGGGGACACAATCTCAGTGTCCTGCGGGGCAGACACCCTACACCAACGCTCCCCTAACCAGACTGGCCCACTCCAGGACCTTCTAGTTTCTTGCTTGTCAACTTGGCTCGTGGCACCCAGCAAACTTCTGGCATCTAGTGTGCACTCACTTTCCACCAAGATCTAAATCTCAGCCCTGTGGTTTACTCCTTTATTTCTTATCCCTTAGAACCTATCTCCAGTCACTAGTTAGTAATTCTTTATGTTAAACCCTCCCTCTTCAAATTACTGACCGCTTTCTCTCTCCCGACTGGCCCCACCTGATAAAAGGGGTCTTCTGAGGCTGGGCCACCCACGTGGGATCTCTCTCTGAAATCCACAGCAACACAGACTCGATGTCTACACTTCCCCCTACTTCCCACCCTGATCATGCTGAGGCCTCCCCAGTTATTCTGGTGCTGTTCCCAGGCCTCTCTGCGTGCACATCTCCTCACGCCCCCGTCAGTGTGTCTTGTGCCCTGCTCTGCACGCAAGCCTCGTCCCTCAGCGGCCCCTTCGGATCGTGTTTGGGAGCCTAATCCCAGAAGTTCAGGGAGGTGGTATCTTGGGCTCCACCACACCGGGCCCTACCCTGCTGCCACCTGTAACCAGTGCCTTTCATTCTCCCAGAGGCATGGCTCTCACATTTTCTCACATCTTGACTCGCGCTGTCCTTGAATTCAGATTCCGATAAAAAGTGTGCTCCTCAAAGAAACTTCCCAGGGGCCCATACCCCACATTCTCAGGCAGTTTCAGGCCCCCCACCACAGCCCTTCACCCACACCTGTGAAATCTTCCTCACCCTGTCTGCTCAGAGCTGGTTCTTCATGGCCACACTATTGACAGAAGAGACCTGGTTCTTCTTGCTGACGGATGTAAAGAATTACAGATCAGCAAATCTATCAGCTTGCAATCAGTTTATTAGTGATCCATTCCCATGGAAGAGAACAGGCCTAGCTGGGGGGCGGGGGGCGGTGAAAGGCAAAGGTTCAGGGCAAAGCAGGGCAGCAAAAGTAAGAACAGCTGAAGACCAGGGTGGCAAGCCCCCAGGTGGGCCAAGGCTGGGTTTCTGGAGAGCCAAGAGCACCCCAAGTGCCCAGACAGCCAGTCCTTGTTCTGAGGACTTATATAGCTGGCAGGATGGGAGTAAAAAGTCACATATTGATTGATGGGTAAAGGTGGTGCCAGCTTTCCCTGGGGGATGTGACTACCCAAACTTAGGTGTGTGTGTGTGGGGGGGGGGGGTTCTGTTAGCCTGAATCCTTATCTTACTCCACACTCCATTTGTTCATCTTGTTGTAAAATAGATATGTGGCAGGAGGCAGTTAATTCAAGTTGGGGCAGTTATCCGAAGTTATTTATGGCCTACTTCTCTGGGCACTGTGGACCCTCTCCTGCATTCCAGGCCTTGGGATGCAAGCACAGTTTCAAGGCTTTGTTTCTGAGGTAGTAGAAACACTACTTAGAATTTCAAAGACTTCCCTCCTTCCTTGCTAACATAGTGTTTCTTGTGATGTTGGAACAACTGGCAATATTATCAGACCAGGCTCAGGACTTGGAAGTTAGCGGCTGAGACATGTGTCCCTCCTTCTCTCTGCCTTGGTTTACTATTCATTCTACCTAAGTAATAAAAGGCGTTTCCTGGCAACCAAGATGCTAGACGCTGGCCAATAACAGCAGTGCAGGCTCAGAGTTCCTATGCTGTCTCCTGCCTCGACACCAGTGAGTTCCCTAAGTGTGGGCCCATTGCTGTACCTCATTTGCTGTAGTGAGAGACTGGGGAGTAACACAGGGCAAGAACAAGGCCAATATGAAGACGTATTAGAGAGCCAGCCGTGAGCACCAGCCTCAGAGTTGGAGCTGGAACCTTCCAAGGAATGCAGTGACAAGTGACTCAGCACTATCCCCAGGAGTCAAATAAAAGCACCTATTCACGGGTTTCCATCCCCATTGTCAAGGGCGAGCCCTGGAATGTTCCTTCTCTTACATTTCATTGCTGTGCACATGTGAATGACCCGGGAATTTCCCTGGGTGTGACGTACGAGGTCACGGGGCAGACTGAAAGCAAGGTACTGCCAGGCTGCACCTGCGTGAAAAGCATCAAAGCCCACATGGAACTCACCGCTGGGGAAAGACGAGGGGCCAGGCGTTCCGACGGGGTGCACGAACCCTGTCTGATGCACCGCACTCCCCGTGCCTTTCTGAAGTGTGCGGAAAACACACACCCCCCCGCCCCCCAACGACGTGTGGACACAGTAGATTCACTCAGGAGTAAAAAGACTGATGGAATCTCAGGCAGAGAGTGAAAAAGAGAAGAATATACACTGGTCAGCCAAGAGGGGAGAGGGGTGGAGACAACAGGGAAGCACGGAGAAATGGACTTGTGAGGTGAATCGGCCATGAACCTGGAGACCCCACACAGACAGAGCCACCGCAGAGGAACGCGATCTGGAGCCCCGTGCTCTGTAACACACTGGAAACTCTGTGGGGCTCTGATGGGTCTAGGGACATGGTGGCATTCCTCACAGCAAGATTGTATCTGTTACACACCATGGAATATTTTGCTGAAAATAACTTGTTTTTGTTTTCTTACAAAAATGAGTGGTTTGCTAGAAGCTGGAGTAAAATTAGGCTAATATGATGGCCCCTATGATTAGGGGGTTCCAAGGACTATATAAGCCACATGGCCACCAATGGAGAAGTTCCGAGAGCAGTGACCAGCGCCTTTTCATTGGCTAGAGTTTGGCCTCCAGTGTCAAAGTTGGACTCTAGTAGCCCGGGCCGCACTGTCTGGGCTGGGCTGGACGTCTGCATGTCTTCTTGGACTCCAAACTCAACTCTAAGGCCCGGATCATGAAGGCCGTTCCAGTCAGCACCCCTAGCCTGGGAGGGGGGACCAGGGAGCCATCTGACCCAACCGGAACCCAGTTCCTGGGCTCGCCTCACAGGAAGTCATTTCTCCAAAAGGATTCAAGTCTAAACAAAACGAGAATAGTAGAAAGTGTGTAACTGCCTTTAAATCAGTATAAAAAATACGTATGCCTAAAAAACACAAAGATTTATGTCTCACAAAATAATTTGTGGTGAGTAATTTCCCCACTAGGGCCCGGGCTCTGCACTGACTTTCAGATTCCTTCTGAGTTTCTGCTCCCCCAAAATTCAGACTGACCTTCCTACTCTGAGGGTGATCCAGGCACCAGAGGCTCAGCACCACCTGGGACCCTGTCCGGAATGCAATATCTCGGGCTCCACCTCAGATGCACTGTGGCAGCCAGGGCCAGTTACAGAATGTGTGGGCACCAGGGCAAAGTAAAGATGTGGGGACCTCTGCTTGGATATGACTAAAAACTCCAAGATGCTGACAGCAGGGCATTAAGCCAAGCACAGAGCTCAGCCACACTGGGGGCTCTGCATGGCGCATGGGCCTCAGGCCTTGAAACAGGCCGTTCACTAGAAGCTCCACAGCCTGAGAATTAAGAACACTGAGACCATGTCCCTAAAGCCAGGCTTTGCCTGCTAATCTCAGATACAAGTGGGCCTAGGTCACAAGGGGAATACAGAAACTGAATATGCAGGCTGAAATCAGAGTCATCCATCAGGAACGATGTATTACTTGGCTGAGACGGAAGCCACAACCCAGGAAAACAGTCTCTGCTTAGCACAGGGCTGTGCCGGTCCCTGTTTTTCTCAGCCCCTGAAAGAACCACCCAGTGGGAATTCCCCAGGTCTCACTGTTCCGTTTGGCCCACAGACCGGGGTGGACCGTTTGGCCCACAGACCGGGGTGGACCATTTGGCCCACAGACCAGGGTGGACTGGAAACTCTGGGCGTGTCATCTCAGCACAGCAGCTCGGTGTTGAAAGTCCGTGCTGTTCTTCAGCAAGTTGCCTGGTGTCCAGATTTCTTCTAATCAAAGGGTGGGAAGGGCTGGTTGTGGCTCTGACCTCACTCTGAAGTTACTGTTCCTGACTGGGGTAAAGATTTCAGCCCCCTGTTCTGCCACAAAAGGGTTAAGAGAGTAGATTTTATGTGATCTGTATTTTACAATTTAAAAAAAATCCTTGACATGCAGAAGCTGAAGGCTCAGACCCTGGCAGAATTTCAGCAGGCGGGCACAGGGGCAAAGGACACGTCAGGGTTGAACAGGACCACGACCAGAGGGCCAGGCGCAGGGTGGGTCCAGGAGCCGAGAATCCCAGACGAGAGGCAAATGTGGGCTCTGAAACTGAGAAACTGCATTGGGGAACAGGTCAGGAGGGCCTCAAGTGCCAAGCCCCAGCACTGGGGTTTCCTCTGGAGGCAGAGGGAGCCGCCGAAGGTTTCAGTTGGGAAGAGGCATGGTCAAGGCTGGCCCTCAAGAGGACAAGGATTCTCACGGTCAATCTCTGATCAACAGTCTCACTTCCCATGAGACCAAGACAAGCACTCTTCCTCGGGTGCCTCAGTTTATCTATAAATGAGGGTAACTCTCTGAACCTACACCTAGGAACAACACGGGGCTGGGAGGCAAGCTGCAGCAGGTTAAGTTAATTCCTAGGGGTGCGGGCACCAGGTCTGGGCAGGATCCCTGACACCCGTATTTTTCAGAAGCTCCTACAGTGATGCTGACGTGTAGCAGTCTGTGAAGCAGCTGACTGCATGATGCCTACGGCTGCTTACGTATTTCCGTGCTGAGACTGCCACATGTTCATGTGCTGAGACTGCCAGGGGAAGGCAGCACCTAGAAGGGAAGATAATACTACTGTAGCTGTCTAGGTAAGAAGTGACGGGAACGTGGATGGTAACGACAGAAAACGGGAAAAATGACCACCACCACCACCACCACCACCACCACCACGTAGAATTGAGACGGTTTACAGAGTAATTGGCAGTGTTAAAAAA